TTAAAGATCTCACCGAGCCTCAGTTTCCACATCTGCAGAATGGGTGCAGTCCTGCTTGTCTTGGTGCATCTGGGGTCCACCAGCTACCTTCCGGGGCAGCACTGACTACGTGGCCAAGCTCAGCCCACTATATTATGACCAAGAAGTTGGAGTCTGGGCTCAGAGCTTTGAGTTCAGATTCCATTTCTTCATGGCAGCATCTGTGTTTCTGAAATGTCAGTACCTGGTACTAGGGAGACATTAACCTTCTGTCTTGCCCTTGTCAGTTTCTTCCCAATTCGCTGAGCTGTGAGGAGTCTCTATTTCTTAGGTCAGGCAGGGCCAACCACGGCCCAGGACTTGCCCTTCTGGGGTGCAGCCCTGTGCCTTTAAGGTTTGCCTTCTCCGAGCCCTTCCTCCTGATGCAGACCCCTCTGAGCAAAGCTGAGCCCCACCTAAGGGTGGAGGCTTATGGCCATGGTGCCACATCTCCCACTGTCCTCTGCAACAAGCCTGGGCAAGATGACCATAAGCTTGGGTTCTAAGAGAAGAAGAGGGGTGGCATATGCCACCCCACTGAGCTCTGCCATCTGTAGGCAGGGGCAAGGGGACATGGTGCTATCCCTGTGGCCAACAGAGGGCTCCTGGGAGTGGCAGGCCTTCACTCCACCAAGCACAAGTCATTTTCCATCTCTTCACAGAAGGCATGGAGTGGTCACCAGCCAGGGAACCCCAACCTTGCCTCTTCATGATGCTCAGTTATCACCCAGCACAGGGCCTGGTTCATCACGGATGCGAGGACTGGGGCCTGTGATGGCTCTGAACAGAGGGTTGGCAGGGCCCATTGCCTTGTCTCTAGCACAGCTACTTCTCATATGCTGGGCTCTGAAGCTGGCCGCTCACTGACAGGAAAACAGGCAGCCAGGTCCACAGGGCTGGAGCCCAGCCCAGGCCATCAAGGCACACTACAGACGGCGGCAGGAGCTTGGCCGGCCATTAATCATGTCTAGAATCTTCCTGGGCTGCATCTGACGGCTGTCAGCATCCGCTTCTCATGGCTACAATCAGCCACCCCACCCCTACCCCTGGCTCTTTTCACAGGTGGGCCTGGGTATCAAGGGCTCCAGGTCTTAGCTCTGAGCTGAGCACAGACCCGGGGGTCTTGAGACAGGCTTGGTCTGTGTTGGTCTAGAGCAGGTCTCTGGACAGGATGGAGATCCTGTGAATGCAGCAGGATGGCCCGCACCTGGTGAGCGCCCAGCAGGTCGTGAGTGGGTGGGCGCTCTGCCACAACTGTATTTCCAGTTACTTTACCTGTCTCCTCCAAGACAGCCTCTGGGGTCCAGTGTGAAACTTCTGGGTCTGTCTGCAAGAAAGATGGTTGAGCGCAAGAGCTACCTTCAGCTCCATTCTGTGCTGAGAGAAGAGATCTGATGCTTGGTCCACACCTTGTAGTGTGTGAAGTGTGTGTGTGTGTATGTGTTTGTGTGTCTCTGTGTATGTGTATATGAGTTGTGTGTGTGTGTGTGTGTATGTGTGTTCGTGTATATCTTTGTATGTGTTACAATCCCTCGTCACCATCTTTTCTGATACAAGTTCCCCCTCTGGATTTGGAGCTCACTGATTCACCCAGTTCATCTGGCCCAGTGAGCCCCAGGGATCTTCCTGCCTCATAAATGTTTGCCACTGTGCTCGGCTTTTATAATGTGGGTTCTGGGATCAGAATTCAGGTCCTCAGGCTGATGCAGAAGGCACTTTGCCCACTGAGTTGCCTTCCCAGCTTTTTGTTTTGTTTTCTTACAACAGATTTTTGCTGACTAAACCAAGCTGGCCTCTAACTCACAGTCCTCCTGCCCCCGCCCCCTGAGTGCTCAGATCACAGGCGTGAGCCACCAAGCCAGGCTTAGCAAATTGACTCTTAATGACCATCTTTAGAATTTCTGTTTCCCACTGAATGAGGAGGAAAGCCTGGTTACTGTTAGTGAGTTTGACCTTTCTGGAAGCGTCCCCTCTATACAAGGGTAATGACAGCTTTCCTTTTCCACAAAAATGTATTTCATAAAATAAATGTCCTATAAATTTTTCACGGGGAACACACGGGTAATTTCATCTTTATTTTTCTTCCCAGCTTCTCTGACTGACAGTTCATTTACTTTCTTGTTTCACGTTGGTGCCCTCGGTGCGATGTCCCCCACAGAAAAGTGGGGCAGATCTTCCAGTCCCACTGCTCCCTCAGCACGGGGACCAGCACGGAGGGGGCACTGGACACCTCTTTGTTCAATGAGAACTGTCCACACAGAGAAGCTCATGGGAGTTCTCTGGTTCCGGGTTCAAAAATGCCCATGGAACTCTGATGCCAGGAGGGGGTGTGAATTGATTGCTGCTGTCCAAAACGGTTTTGCTTTGGGGGTCAGGCTGGGAGCAGAGGATACATTTATCTGATGGTTACCTAGATAGTAACACTGTCGTGAATATGCTAAGCCACCACTCTTGCCTGCACAGCACCTGCTGTGAGCTGAACTATGACCCTCTGACAATGCGTATGTTGAAATCCCGACCCCTTGGTACCATTGACTGTGACTGTGTTTGTAAGTGATTACATTCAATCAGGTCATTAGTGTGCACTATGATCCAGTGTGATTTCAGAGAAAAAAATCCATCCAGACTCCTGGAGAGACCCCACATGCTCACCTGCAGAGGAAACTTGTGTGGGGACATAGCAAACTAATGGCTGTCACCTGCAGGTCAAGGAGAGAGGCCCTGAGAGAAGCCGCCCTCATGACACCTTCATCTCAGACTCCCAGCCCACACGTGTCAAACGTAAATGTAGTTAAAGCCAAGTAACCTGTGCTATTCTGTTGTGGGGTCTCCAGAAAACTAACAAGCCTTGCTGTGCCCCTATGTCCAAATCTCGCTACAGTCTAATATCTAGTATATCCATCCTTGAAATAAGAAAACGGAGGTTCATGGAGGGAAGTGGCTTGTCAGAGGCTCCAAGATCTGTGAGTTCTTCAGTAGGGCTTGCAAAGTGGGCCCAGATGTACTACAAGGACCTGGTGGTCAAGTTCAGTGGACTTGTGGGGCATGTCCTCCTCCCCATCAGGACCTTTGACCCCACAGAGGTCCTGGATGTTACCTCCAGGGTCCCCTGCCCTGGGAAATAGGCTAGTTGTGGATGTTCCCATGGCCCCTGCCTGGGAACTCTTTCAGCGGACAATGGGACACACCCATGGGGATCTAAGATGCTGACCACTCTGGATGCACTCGATCCAGGACTCTTGCAGAGAGCCCCTCTGCACCCCTCCCGCCCTGCCTCCACTCCTAGTTCCCCCCTCAGCCTCTGCCCAGCATGCTCAGAACTGACACCCCTCTTCTTTCTTGGCCTGAGCTCTTACTCACTATTTTGGATTGAATTGTGTCCATTCTCACACCTCAGTAATGTTGATGTTCTAACCCTGAGGACCCCAGAACATGACCTTATTTAGAGATAAGCCCATGAAGGTAAAATGAGGCCAGTGGGTAGGCTGGTATCTTTTTCACCAGGGTGATATGGGTACTGAGGCAGACGGGCAGAGAGGGAAGATGGGGGTGGGCATCGGGAGAGGCTCATGCAAATCTCAGGAGAGGCAGTTCTATGGGCACCTTGACCTGCTTCCAGCCTCCGGAACTGAGAGACAATGGCATGCTTGTGCTGTGCCTGCTGCTTTGACCCTGGAGCCCCAGCAAACAGGACACACCCACGATCCACAAGGGAAGCCCTGTGGAGCCACAATAAGGGTCTTTACCATGGAGACACATTTCAGGGGGTACACAGAGCCCCCAGAGGGCCTTCAAACAGAAGAGCCACTGGTTGTGGGTTAGCACACCAGTCTCGGTTCCATCTTTGTAGAAAGTGGACAGTTTGTGTATTTATCTTTCAGGACCTTTCGTGACAGCACAGTGAGACATGGCCAGTGGACATTAGCTGTTATGATTACCTAGTAATTATCATGAGGACTTCCTCAGAGGAATTTAAAGGAAAAGGAACCTAAACCATAAGACTGGGAGATGTGCTGGAATGGAGTTTATAGTACCAGCAGGGAATGACCTGTGAAGGGGCCAGTTGTGGGTGGGACTCATTGTGGGTCGGGCCTTGGGTGGGCGGGGCCTGGTGTGGGCAGGGCTGGTTGTGGGCATCCATAGGTTCTACACATTTATGTCCTTGTGACACATGCTCTGCTTGTGGGGCTCATTAATCCACGAGCTCATTCTTTCATGGAGGTTCTTAATGTACTTTCATGATCTTAGACATCAAGTAGGTAAGTAAAAAGTCCATGAACAGGATGGTGGGGATTCAGGGAGGTGGAGGAGGACAAGGGAGGTGAAGCTGGGAAGATGGCTCAGTCAGTAAAGTGCCTACCATCAAAGCATGAGGAGCTGAGTCTGCATCCCCAGCAGCCACGGAAAAGCCAGGCCTAGTGTACATGTCTGTATCCCTGGCACAGAGGGAGGGATGGGAAGTGTGGACACAGACCTGGGCTTGGTGGCCAACCAGCCCAGCTGAATCAGCAAGTTCTGCGTTCAGCAAGGGACTCTCTCAAAAGTTGAGGAGAAGAGTGATAGAGGAAGAGACCCAAAGTCAATTCTTAGCATCCACAGGTACCGCTCACACATGCATGATGCAACCACAGACAGAGAGAGAGAGAGAGAGAGAGAGAGAGAGAGAGAGAGAGGCAGAGACAGAGACACAGAGAGAGACAGAGAAACAGAGACAGAGAGAAAGGGAAGGAAGGAAGGAAGGAAGGAAGGAAGGAAGGAAGGAAGGAAGGAAGGAAGGGATGGACCTGGAAAGACTCCCTAGAGGCCACACTTAGGCTAAAATGGCAAGGTGAAGAGGAGGAAGAAGGCCAGGCTTACAGACACCAAGGGAGGGAAGGGCAGCTTGCCTTGCACTCTGTGACCCATCCTTTGGAGTCCTCAGTGCCCCAGCCATACCTGTCAACCTTCTAGATGGCCATCCCCAGAGAGACAGAGAGCAGAGATTCCAGGAAAGACTTTATTTTGTACAGACCAAGCATGTGTGGAGCCCAGTGCCCTGCTTGGGCTATGCCCCTCAGGGCCCATCACCCCTCCTGAGGGTGGCTGGGCTGCCTGGCTCTGGCCTGAAGCCCCAGGAGCCTGGGTGGTTCTCTGTCTCTCTCTCCTCCAGGTTGTGAAGTAGGAAGTCTTTGACAGAAGCTGTATCTCGGGAGGCTGGAAGCAAACACAGGTGAGAGCTGGTGAGCCAGCTGCAGGTTAGAAGCTCTGGTGGGGAGGAGGAGCAGATGGGCAGGTCGGGAGCTCTCCAAGCCCGGGGTCTTACTAGAGAGACAGAGTGGGCAGCTGAGGGGAAGCAACAGGAAGAAGTCGGGACAAATTTCTAAAGAACCTGCTGGTGTTTGGATTGGACTGACCCCTGGAGGCTGGTGTTAAAGGCTTCTCCCCAGCACGGTACTATTAGAAGGTAAGAATTTTAAAATGTGGGAATCCACCTGTGGGGGGCTTCTGGTCACTGGGGTGCACCCTCTAAGGGGACCATGGAGCCCCAGTCTCTTCTCTCTCCTTTTCCTGCCCTGAGAGAACGGCTTAGCATGGTGCTACCCCTGTGGCCTGGAGTTCACCACCAGCCCAAAGCTACAGGACCCATCCACCTTGGACTAAAGCTCCCAGAACTCTGAGCCACTGCCAACCTTTCTTCTTTATAAGTGGATTAGCTCAGGCATTTGTCACAGGAATGGAAATCTGGCTCAAACAGGACCCACATTGTTTAAGTACAAAGTACCCTGGTATTCACACATCCACTGAGCAGAGCCCCGACTTAGGAGCTCTTGTTTTTATTTATTTTTAATATTTTATATTATGGGTATGATTGTTTTGCCTGTATGTATGCATCCATACACGTAATGCCCATAGAGGCCAGAAGAGGGCTTTAGCTCCCCTGGAGTTACAGACAGTTCTTAGTTGGCATGTGGTGCTGGGAACGAAACCTGAGTCTTCTGCAAGAACAGCTAGTGCTCTTAACTGCTGAGCCATTGTTCAGGCCTCTTGTATTTATGTGTGTATGTGTATGCACGTGTGTTATGAGTCCATATGTGAGTGCTCATGTGTGTGTGTGTTTTTGTGCACGAGAGTGTGTGTGTGTTTGTGTGTGTGTGCGTGTGTGTGTGTGTGTACCCATCTGGGGAGTGGGGCTGTGTAGTGTAGTTCAAAACTTGTGTCTGGTGATCTGGGGCTCATAATACAGTGAACAGCCCTTGCTCAGGGGAACAAAGAGGCCTTGCGTTTAAAAACAATAATGGCAGAGGCAAGCTGTTCTGTGCGGCGTGGGCTCGGTGCCGCTCCCCTAATGGATGCTGGCTTTTACTTGACCTTTGAAACTGCTTCTCATGTCCCCCAGAGCACAATAATGTAAATGAATATCAGATCTTTACTTGGCAATTGAGAGCAGAGAGAAGGCCATGCTAAGTCAAATTAATTTGCTTGGATACAGTCTGAGCTGGTCTCTTGGAAGGGGCGGTGGCTTTCCAGCGGGCTGAGGTGCCCCTGGAAGAGGCAGGTGTGCAGTGGAGGCTGCAAGCAGGCCGGGGTTATGCAGTGTGCACGCTGAGTAACCTCAGCCTTGGGGTCTAAGATTCCACAGTGGGGCTGTTTCTGTCAGCTGTGGGCTACTGAGCACCACTGATGTCATTGAGTACCTGGAAGTCCAGCCTAAGAGCAAGCATTAGACACACATGAGGACTCTGGGGTTCGGGGTCTCAGAGCTGCCTGGGTGATTTTGTCCCAATGACTTGAACTCTCTCATCCTAATTAGTCAACCTGTGAAATGTGAATAATGGTGCTAAACACCTCTGTGGTTGTTGAGAGTAACAACTACGGCTGATCCACGTGCTCCATAGAGGTCAGACCCCATCCGATGAACACCTCATCCTGTACCTGCCCCAGAGAACAGGATTAAGGCAGGAGGCAGAAGGAAGGTTCCTTCTCTGCTGCTCTTGGACCTTTGCAGGCACTTCCCCTCCCATCCTGGGCCTCAGTTTCTCTCTATAGAAAAAGCAAATGTTGACTCTTGCCCTTTGGTAGGTGTCTTCCAATCTGGTCTTCTGTGGCTTGGTGATACCATTCTATGGACGGAATGACATACCAGCACCTTCGACCCCAGGTGGAAGGGAGGTAAAAAAAAATGAGGCTCAGTGGGGGAGACTGTAAACGTCTGACACTGTGTGTGTGTGTGTGTGTGTGTGTGTGTGTGTGTGTATACAGGTGTGTGCATATATGCCCCTGTGGAAGCCAGAGGTTGACAGTGGTTATTGTTCTCAATCTCTCTCAAACTTATTTTAAAAAATTTTTATTATTTTTTATTTGATTTTATGTGCATGAATACATTGCCTGCATGTATATAAGTGCACCCACATCATTTGATGCTTACAGAAGAGGGCATTGGATTCCCCTGGAACTGGAGTTACAGATGGTTGTTAGCCACCACGTGGGTACTGGGAATCAAACCCGGGTCCCCTGCAAGAGCAGCCAGTGCTCTTAACTGCTAAGTCATCTCTCCAGCCCCTCTACCTTATATTTTGAGACAGGGTCACTCACTGAGACTTAGCTTACCAATTAGGCTAAACTGGCTGGCCAGTGAACCCAGGCATCCACTGTCTCTACCTCCCCAGTGCTGGGGTTACAAGTACATAACACTACATCCAGCTTTTGTTTTTAAACATGTTTTCTGGGGAGCAAACTCAGGTTCTTATACTTATAAGACAAGCTGGCAATTGACTGAGCCATCTCCCCAACCTTCTGTCACCTCTTTATCATGTATATATGTCTGGGTGCATGTGTAGACATGTATGTAGGCATGAAAACACGTGAATGTGGAGGGGAGAGGATGACATCAGGTATCTTGTTTGATCTCTCTCTACCTTATATATTGAAGCAGGGTCTCTTACTTGAACCCAGAACTCACAGTTTGGCTGGGATCCTGTCTCTACCTCCAGGCACGATGGCCTGCCTTGCATTTACATGCACGCTGGGTATCTGAACTCAAGTCCTCAGTTTTGCTGGGAAATGTTTTAGCCACCAAGCCATCTCCTCAGCCCGTCTGCCATTCCCTTTGACATCATCCCACAGATCCTCTTGCGTTTGGATGCAAACTTCTGCATCTTGCAGTGTCACATGTTAGCTCAGCTACCCCCCTGACACCCTGGGTCAGTCAGTCCGGCATTAAAGCAGGCTTCATACTTCCCTCAACCCTGTCTGAGGGACACCTTTGCTCAGAGCCTGAGGAACACAGCCCCATCCTGCTGAGTTTACCTGTAGCTCCTCCTACTTGTGGAGGTATTTCTTCATAATGCTTTCTACGTCGTCACCCTTCGTCCCTGTGCCTGGCTGTCTGTGCTCAGGGGATGTTTGCTCATCACCATCACCTTGGAGTCTTGGGAATCTCGGGCCACTCTTGATGCTGTCTGCGCTTTTGAAGGACATGATGGAGCTGGAGGATGACGATGAGTCGGAGAGGTGAGCAGGGTCCTCCTTGGACTCTGAACTCTTTTTCAAAATGGTCTTGATCCCTGAGAGAAAGGAGCAGTCAGCCTCTTCCTTCTCAAAGTGGACACTTGGATGCTTTGAAGCCTCTTGGCCATCTTTGGCAGACCCAGACAAGGATGGAGGTGTGCCGGGCTTCCGTATCGCTGGGAGGAAGTCATCAAAGTCCACTTTGGCCTGGCGTCTGTAGTTGAGGCTTGGAAGCTTCCAGCCGAATGGGTCACTGTCCAGTGTTTCTCCCATCAAGTGAGTGAACTGCCGGTTCTGGAAAACGAGTGATTCCTTCCCAAGGTCTGGGCAGACTGCATCATCTAAGGAGGACTCCAGACACCGCCTCCTGGGACGCAGCGTGGGTGACAAGAATGGGTCCCTGGGTGTGGTGGGGGAGCTCTGTTTTCTCCTGGTGCTGGGTCCTGATTCTAAGAGGGACTCACAGGAACTGAACCTCGTCTTCAACGTGTCAGGCAGCAGGGTGGCACTCTTGGTGCCCTCTGAGGAGATACACTTGAGGCTGGTGGACCTTGAGAGACCAGCTGCAGCCCCAGGGACCACCTCTGCTCCCAGGGGAGACGTAGCCCTCGTCCTCAGTGAGAGGTATCCCTCATCACTGCTGGCTCTGCCCCTTCTAAGTGAGGATGCCCCTATGGTCTGATAAATAGGGAGTGTGGGCCCCTCCCCCAGGTGCAGAGTGGAACCCTGGCCCCTCTGGGCTCTTTTCCTGCGAAGTTCTTCCACAAACTCTGACAGAGCAGCTGATGGGCTGGGTAGCTTGTCTCTGGGCAGGGGTGACGTGTTTGTGCTCTGAGAAGAGGGAGACAAGGACCGGGTGTCTGCTATCTCTGTAGTGGGCTTTCCCTGGATACCAAATCCTTCCCCATCCCCTAAATGGTAGGACTTTTGTGGGCGGATGGAGTGGGGGGACCCAGAGTCGCCTCTCCAGGTCTCGCTGCCAGCATCCCAGGCTCCACTCAGTGCCGATAACGCCCGCTTTGGCCTTTCAGTGTCTCCAGCCTCTTTGCTTGCCCTGTGACAAAGAAAAAAAAATGAATCTTCTGGAAAGTGCACTTTGTACAGTTGGTGAGAGCCACTGAGCCTTGGCATGGATATCACTTTGTCTTTGGACAGTCTCCCCACTGTACCCTCGAGTGAAGTGTGTGATTTGGTGTGAAAATTTCAGCCCTGTGCATGATTATTACTGCTTTCTGAGAAATAATTTTTGTGTAATTAAACTCATCTAAATGCATTTGAGTGGATCAGCACAGTGGCTATGATGGGGGACTTAGAGTTATGGGGCATCCCATCATAATAGACATCACCCAGAGCCCAGTGTGACATAAGTAATTTGCTTTTCCAAGCCTGGATGGGGACCTGCAGGGGACCACTTATTTAAGGTCAAACTCAGGACAGTCCCACCGAGCAGGTCTCCTGAGCATCAGGTATCCTAGTATATATTTCAGTGACACCTCTGACAGTTTCATAGAGCAGGGATAGGGATAAAATCTTACTCCCCACCCAAAAAAGGAAAAGACACAAAATCAACTTGAAGCCAAGTCTCTCTGTGAGAGGACAGGCGGTTTCTATTCTGGGATGCACCAGCCTCAGTTTTTATGCGGCAAGAGTTTACAGCAGCTGTGCCCAAGCACGCTGCCTCTACAAAGCCTTGAGGTGGGGCAGAGTTACAGACCATAAAATAAAGCATGTTTTCTGGGAGAGGCGAGCGCCCACCAGTGTTTCCCATTAATAAATAAAATCTCTGTGCCCTCCTTCCTGAGAAACAAACCCCTGTCCACCTACCAGCAAAGTCACAATATATTAAAAAACAAAAAGGAATGTGAGATGTCAGATTTGGACTGCAGAGACGCAGGGAGCAAGGTGTGTGCACGCAGGTTTTCAGTGATGAAGCCCACAGCTCTAGTTGCTTGGCAGCTCCAACTGTGACAGGGGTAAGAGTTGGCCTGCCACACGCCAAGGGTAGCTGGGACCCTGGCATACAGCTTCTAGAAAAGCATCTCACTCCTGGCAAGAATTTGCCACCTTTGCCCCATCATATAGAGTTCAGGAAGAGCTGGGTAGGCTCTGGATTCTGGGGAGAAAATCATACAAAGGCCCCCAGAAGCGATGGCTAAGCAGGGACAGGAGGGCACGGCTGGGCTGCAGGCTGAGGTATTTCCCAGGGCAAAGGAGCTAGGTATTGCCGCCCCCAGATACTAGGGGTGTGACTGTTCCCTCAGTGTTAGAAAGTGGAGGCTTGGTGGGGGGGTTGAGTAGGTTTTGGGGGGCAGGGCATTCATGCATGGTATTGATGCCCTGTTAGTGCCCTGGAGTCTTTCACATAGAGACCCCAGGGTTGGGGAGATGGTAAAGTGCTTGCCACAGCATCCCTAGAACCTACCTATACCTACATGAGAATGCTGGACATGGCTGTATACACTTGGAGTCCTAGCACTGGGGAGATAGAGACAGGTGGACCCCTGGGGCTTGCTGGCCAATCAGTTCAGCCGAATTAGTGAGTTTCAGACCAGTGAGAGACTCAAAAACAAGGTGGACAGCATCTGAAAAATGATACCCTAATTTGCTCTCTGGTCTCTTCTCGACACACAAACATAGATACACATTTAAAAACAACAACAATAACAAAAAAAAAACAAGACCCCGGAGAACTCCACTTCCCCCTTCCTACACTTGAGGAAACAAGACAGCCACCAGTGAACCAGATCCTGCATCTGCCACCACTTTGATTTTGGGCTTCCAGCCTCCAAGGTTAGAAATCAGCCTTTGTGGTTTATAAACCACCCGGACTATGGTATTTTTGTTATAGTTTCCCAAAGGACATTGTCATCCAGAGCTCTGGAGCCAGAGTTTTGACCATTACATAAGCTTCTCTCCTATGGTGCTGGCAAGAACCCCTGCTGGGCACCTGAGGGAGGCTGCAGGACATGATGGGTCCTGTTACATGGTTTCATGAAGATGGAACCCAGGGCTGGCTGTACTGACTGGCCCTGGTTCATGCTACAGACCAGGCAGAGGAGGTGGGCAATGTCGATAAGCCGGGAACTCTCCATCTTCAGTCCCCAGCCTGTGTGGCCAGGATCCTCCGTCCACCCTCTCTTACAGAGACCCCACTCTCCCTCACTCCATCCCACCCCTGGCTCCTGCCTTGGCTGCTCCCTCAGCCTGGAGCCTCCTTCCCACCCCCTACACTGTCCAGTTGCAGTGTTGACCTCACTAGGCAGTTAGGAAAACAGAGAAAGCCTTTGCTTCAGTGCCTGGCCCCCTTCCCTCAAGCAGAGCAAATGCTGTGGTGAATAATTAACCCACCATGAATGGCTTGGATCACTAACAGTTAATGGTAATTACCATCCTGCCCTGACTTGCTAGTCTCCAGACATAAGACCGGGCACAGTGAGACTGTAAGTGGGATTTTTAAAAGGACAGAGGGCAGATTGATGGGCTGGGAATACTCAGTAAGAAGCAGTGCGGACCTGTGTGCTGAAACAAAAGCTGTACACTTGGCCCTCAGGAGCCTTCCCTGTCCCCTGCCTGCCACTTCCTGTCCTGTCACAGCTGGACCTAGCTGAGCCTGAGCTACTTTCCAGTCACAAGGAGGTATGCTTGTCGACAGTCTTGCTTGGAACCGCCCTCCCCCACTGCAAGGTGTGTTCACACTCTATTCATTTCTCTCTTTTCTTTTTAATAAACAGCTCTGAGCTGCCAGGGCTGGTGGGCTGCTGCTGAGCTGACAAAAGTCATTTCCTTGCTGTCTTGGCCCTGAAGGGAGGCCGGCTTGATGAATGTATCCTGGGTGCTCCGTCTCATCCATCACCTGCCACCCAGGGGGAGGGGGGACGACGTCAGGGTGACTGCTGCCTAGTCTCCCAAGACTACAGCTCTGATGGTCCTGGCTCCCACTGTCACTTCTAGCTGCAGATGCCAGGGCAGAGTGTGAAGGAACGAGAAGAGGAAGAGGGTGTGGAGGGCACTCTAAGAAGAGTTGAAGACCACAAGGTCATGCTGGTCTTGTAGACTCAGCCCTGCAGCTGCTCAGCACCCATCCTGGCTCATAGTAGATGCTCAATAAAATGGTGAATTTAATCAAGGTAGAGGAAGAAGAATGAGAAGGAGCAGGAGGAGGACGAGGAGGAGGAAGAAAGGGAGGAGGAGGAGAGGGAGGACAGAGGCTTGGAAAGAGGATAAGGAAGCTAGGGAGTGACAGGACAGAGCAAAGAGGCAGAGGTGGGGTGGGAGGGACAGGTGGGGTGGGAGGGACAGGT